GAACAAATGCAAGCCAGCTATGGCCACCAGGTATGTTGTTAGCCTTTGTTGAACACCTACTACCAGCGGTATTTAAGTTCTGGGTAATGTAGTGCAGTGGTTCTTAAACTTTATAAGCCCAAGAATGAACCAGGCAGATTGTTTAAATGCGGAGTTCCTGCATTGGTTTTCATAGGTCTAGGCATGTGGAAATCTGTGGAGTCCTGAGTGATTTTTATAAAGGTGATCAGTGACTGCATTTGAGAAATGTTGATATTAAGAGTTTCAAAAAATAAATAAATGATAGTGGATTCTTGCTCTCAAGAGATTGTAGTATAGTATACGAGAGATTATAAAAAAGAGGTAAAATAAAGTCCTATAATAGAGGTACAAACAGAAGTATTTTGGAAACTCGGAGGAAGATGGGCATTTGAGATAGGAGTAAGATTTCAAAAGGAGGAACAAAGTGAGAAGCTTATTCTAGCTCTAGGAACAGCATGAGCAAGGTGCAAGGCAAGAAAGCTCAATGGTATGTGGGAGGATGGTCAGTACTGTGTTCTGGTTAGGATACAGGGATTGTCCAGTTTCAAAGGGAGTTGAGGCAAGAGATCGAGGCCTGATAGAAAGTTTGGAATTTGGATACTCAGTAATGTAAGTGTGAAGTAAGTGCTATTTTTGGTGGTGGTGGGGTGGAGAGGACTGGAGAATTGCCATGATTAGGAAGGTGTTGTAGAAAGATCACTAGCAACATGAGTGAAGATTGGATTAGAAATGTGAGGGGTTGAATGCAATAGATTAACTACCTTACACTACCATCCGTACTGAGGTCTGGATTTGGGGAGTCGTAGCCAAATAAAAGGGGGAGGGCAGAGAAAGAAATACCAGGGCAGTGTGGCTGACTAGATCTGGGGAGTAAGCAGAAAAGTGGAGAATGGCTCCCAGATGTTGAACCTTGGAACAAGGAAGGTAGTGGACCATCATCAGAAGTAAGACAAAGAGCAACCCAAAAGGAGCAGTGCAGTGGGGTGTGGGCACATTCTAAGTTTGAAGTGTAGGTGGACCTTCCATGTGGAACTGTTTGGTAGGCATTGAAAACTTGGGAGATCTTGCTTTGAGAATCATCATGAGAGAAATTGTTGATACCATTCAAGTGGTTGAGAACCCAAGGGGAAAATGTAATTCTTTTCACCTGCCAATCTCTTCTTCTACGACTGATAATTCTACGTTCCTTTCCCCGAGCCTGAGAAGTGAGTTTTATTGGGCCCTATTCTGTGCCCACATGTCCACCCCACCCGCCGCCCTGCCACAAGGCCACCAATCTTACTGATAAGAGTACAGCTAGTTCTGAGAGCAGCCCCCTACTAGAGGCATTTCTTCCCAGTTCTTGAACGATGCGTAGTGATTGAATCGTTATCCAGGCACTGATTTCTATCAGGGGAAAGGAATTCCTGTCCCCGTCCTCCAGTGACCAGGCTGGCCCCTCTGCCATTGTGTCTGGACTGAGCAGAACAGATTACATAAACTTATATTCTGTGGGAGGATCTGCCAGTCCTTGGCACAGGGGCATTCAGTAATTACAGGATGCCCCCCTTACCCCCAGAGCACATTTCCTTCCTCATTGGCAGTCTGAGAAAACCTGGATTAGGGCCATAGTTGATAGGTTGGCCTAAAAAAATAGTAATAATTGTCCATTGTTCTCCTTAGTCCTCTCATTACCCTTCTTAGAAGCTAAAATTAGTGGCCCTGGCATTTATATTTCCTAAAATTTTTATAATACATATGTATTATTCTTATAATCAGAGAAAAGTTTTATATAACAAGAATTGTGTTGCTTATGCCTGTCACTATGAGAGATGTCCTCCTTCTTCACTGAGATCCTTACTCATTGACCCCCTCCTTGTTACCCTGAAGGGATTGTTAGGTGTTTTAATGTTTCTTATGTTATGGGCCTTTAGTTAATTTTTAGTTAACTTCTCTTTCTATAAAACTAATTTTCTGAAGCCTGATATCAGTGAATTCAGGTAAGAACACCATTAAAAGGCAAAGAACAGAAAAGGGATAGCTTTTTTTTTTTTTAAGAGAAGGAGAAAAGCAGTCAACTCACTAATAATGAAGAATAGTAATTTGTTCTTGAGGAATTGTTGTGAGTTGTTTAAAGAGTGGTTGCATTGAAGCAAGTGTTTTTATGCATTTGTTTACGAGAGATAACATTGAAGACCGACTTGACGACTTTCTCTAAAATGTCAATTTTATTTGTGATGTTTCCTTGGTTTACAGTTATTTCATCCTGAATTGGAAGCAGAATTTAGAGACTGACAGGGTTGAAACCTAACACTTTCCCCCCTGAGCTCGAAAGATAAACAGTGCTACTGCTGCTTCTTTTTTTTCTTTTAAGGTGATTTTGGGACCATCATTCTTTCCTTTTAAGATAATGGTGTTGCTTGAGAAGTGGAAATCCTGAATTAAGGAATACCATCCTGGAAGATTTTCTGGTCTTCTGCAGAGGCAGAAGTCCCTAAGTTGCTGGTGCTTGTCTTTATGGTGGCTAGAATTTAATCCTTTGATTGTCTTTTCTGGAGGTGTTGGGTCACTATCAGGACTATCAAGGCACTACTTACTTTTGAGCTTTGATATGCATGGTCGTGTTGTTCCCTCTGTGGATCATTTTTATTCACTTCTGTTGTTGTGCTCTCCAGCCACCTCTGAGCCAATCAGGTACCTCATACTCCAAGCTCATTCTGCATGCCTGGCATTTTCCTGATGATGAGGAATTGTGCTTCTCCTTGGTCTTGCTTTCTCCCGTGTCCTATCCACAGCACATCCCCAAGTCCATCTTCCCCATGCCTGCCCATTTATGTGGGGCATGGCCTCTCAACATTATCTCTTATTCCCCAAACAGTAACCTCAGGGAGATGGGAGGAGTTGGAAGGGGAGCCTTCCAACCCTCTGGACTGTAGTGATGATCATGGAAGGTTTCAGAAAAGGTAGGGCTTGAGCCAGACTTTTCAGTGTGAGTCACTTGATGAGAGAAGAGAAAATTATCCATGTAGAGCAGTGGGGAGGAGGTAGGGGAAAGTCCTGTGTATATTTAGGGGCATTCCAAGTGTTCTGGCTAAAGTGGGAGACTTTTGAGATAAGAGTGAGTACAGGGATGTAACGTTAGGCAACCTGTCTATGCCCTTAAGTAATGGGAGAGGTTCAAAAGCAATTTATTATGCTTTCCACTTGTACTGTGGTAGCTTCTCAGTATGTTTCTCTGGAAAGAGAATGGGACGATATAAGTAGATTTGTGTTATGACATCTCGTTTTTGTCACATACTAACAGAACAACCTGAAGAAATTTTCCTTACATCTCAGAATTAAAATTTTTTTATCTCTAAAATTGTGAAGATACCTACTTTATAGGGTTGTTGTGAAATAAGTGTATAAAGTATTAGTTGTTTCCATTATCTCACTTCTCTGAAGTGAGACAGAATGCTCCCTAGCACTATATTCGAGGCCCTTCACAGTCCAACAGGACTGGGCCCTTAAGCCTTAACCCTGCCCCAGCCATCTCAGTTGCAGCCACACTGCACTGCTCATTGTTCCTTGAACATTGTTTTTTTCCTCTCCTACCTGCCCTCACACCTCTGCTCTTGTGGGCACCTCCCTGGAACTCCTTTTGTCCTCTCTTTATCCTACTCTTCCTCATCTCTCATCTATTTCTGAAACCTAACCCCTGAACCTGCCCCCAGAGTAACGTGCTCCTCCTCCAAATTCCTGTAGTACTTATTATCTAAGAATTCCTTCTCTGTGTTATGCTGTTAATTACCTTTTAAGGTAATCCTCAACTCCCACCCTAGATTCTAAATCTTAGACTTGCATAACTGCCTTGCACAGCAATGAGTAATATTAGGTACTTCATAAATATTTGTTGGTTCATTCTTGTAGCTGATTTGTTGAAGAATGAAGAATGCTTGTATTCTAATAGAAGACATTTGTGCCTCTGGTGGTTATAAGCTACTACAGAGGGAATTGAAACTTCTCAGAGAGGACTCTTTGGAAAGGTCTAGACAGTAAAGGGTTATCTCTTAAGTTCTTAGGAATCCTCCTGAAACCCTTTTCACCCACTAAGGCAAGGGTGATTGGTTCTCTAGACTTTTCTTTCTTCTCTTGAAGGCATGTGAGAAATGGAAAGCTCATCTGAAAGCTCAAGTTTGTAATGTGGTATTGAAAGAAACAAAGGTACAGCATATTAACCCAAATATAAATGTCAAATACACACATGCTTTGGGCCAATCTGTCAAATTAGTAGAAACAACTAAAGTCTTCAGTGCAGATTTTTAAAGTTGCTTTGAGGCTTATGTTTAGTCAGACTCAAGATTTTCATCTTTACATACCAGACATAAGACTTTTCAAATGAGCTGTTAAATTTTTCCCACAGCAAGTCCTGTAAAAGAGGAACTGGCTCATAGAGTTAGTCAGTCCATCTCCCTAATGCAGTGGTTCTCAAATGGAGGTGATTTTACCCCTAGAGAACATATGGCTATGTCAGGAGCCATTTTTGTTTGTCACAGTTGGGGGATGCTGCTTGGCATCTAGTGGGTAGAAGCCAAGAATGCTCCTAGACATCCTAGAGTGCACAGGACATCATTCCCCAACAAAGAATCATCAGATCCAAACTATCAATAGTCCTGAGGTTGAGAAAGTTTGCTCTAAAAAGAAAAGAGCTGATATGTTGAAGATTAAAAGGCTGATTCATAGAATTTTAAAGAAACACATCATTAGTGACCATCTAGTAGTTAGGACACCTGCAAGTGGGAAAATGAGGAAGAAGAAATTTAATTTCTGAAAGGAAACTCATGCAGATAATCGGTTTATTTATGCCCAACCTTATTTCCCAAAGGAATTTTTAGCAATTTAAAAAGGGTGTCAAGACATGGAGAAAATTCAGAAATCATTGGAAGTTAGAACTAGATATGATCTTAGAGATCACCAAGTCCAGTTCTCTTTATTTCACAAAAATTAAATGACTTTTCTAGGGCCCCAGAGCTGACTGGGAAGGGCATGAACTGGAACCTGATCTTGTTTGCTGGCTTCAAATGTTCCCTCCCACCCCGTTAAGTCCACTTCTCTAAATCTTTCCTTGGCCTATTTCAAGCCTCAATTGCTCTGTGAAGCCTTGATTAATCTACTGTTTAGTCCTGCTTAATCTCTAGTTTACTGTATGAATTTAGTTTGCACTTGACTAAATGTTATCTAATACTCTTTTGTTTCTTGTCTCCTTCCTTTCAAGGGCAGTGAATCTTTTCTCTCCATACCTGCCCCAGTGTCGGTAGAAGACAGGTAGTTCAGTGGATGTCATGATCAGTGGATTAACCAGTTGTGTCCATGTGGTGCTTTGAAGAGAAGACACCGTGCATGTCACTGAGACATATGAGTGGCATGTCAGTGAACCCATTCCACCTTTCCAGAGGCCTAAGGAATGCAAAGTGAAACAGCCTTTGTAGATTTGTAGGGCCTGTATACATTGTTAGTTATGCAAAGATGACTAGGCTTTCAAAAGCAAAATAGAACTCAGAGGCAAAAAAAATCCTAGATAACGTTACAAAAATATCATACAGGACCATTTGACTATGGGAGAAAAGGAAAATTACTAAAATAGGAAAACTTAAAAAGCTTTCAAAAACTGCCTTAATCAAATTTTATTTCTCTTGATCAATAATTTTATTAAAAAAACAAGTGAAATTTTAAAATGAAGCTACAAGTAAAGATTATTCCTAGGATAGCTGACTGTAGCCTAGAGTACATTTTTATGGCACCATTTTAAGTGTAAAAACTAGTGTCCTGATGGAATGTTGACAGATTTATATGTGCTACCATATGAACAGTGTTAAAGTTCATTAGCAAATGATAAAGTACTTAGAAGTGTTGGCCAATTAACTGGCTGGACTCCCTAAGGATTCTGTGCCCTACAGTGTTGCCTTTGGGGGATGCCTGCTCTGATTAATTTCACTGCACAGTGGAAGGGTCCATCAGTTGGAAAGGAAAAGATTTGGAGTTTAAATGAAAATGAATTTAAGGGAGTTTAAGATTGGGGACTTTATTGAACCACTTATCTTCCTTGCTCTTTTCTTGGCATTTGCTCCACTGTGGCCTAAGGTGAATGGAGTCCTTTGTTTTGGTTCATCCAAACTGCTCTCTTTAATGTGTGTTCTGGACTATTCCCAAGAAATGCTGTAGGGTTATTGAGAGCCTGGGATCTGAGGGAGAAACAGCTTGTAGGTGTCAGACAGCCTGCTACTGCTCAGCTAAAAATTCAGGCATCTATGCTTTGCTACAGTTGTAAAACTAGGAACCTTCCCACCCTATAAAGCGATAGTTTTTATTAAGCTTTTCTTCTGAATAAAAAGAAAACCTGGGGAATGAGCTTTCTATGTGTCATGCCAGCCACTAGAGGGCAGAATAGTCACACTTCCTTGGACAGGTGTAATTCATTCTGATAGAGCAGGACTACCGTCAGAACACATTTGCTAATGTTTATCAATGTAGGAATTTCTTAAACAGTGAAATTCCTACTTTAGAGTGCATACTAATCAGCAGAGTAATTTGTTAAAGGTGCAGCTTCCTGGGTCCTACCCTTGGAGATTCCTATACATGTATGTTGGATTTTACTTTGAGAAACACAGGATCTTAATGTTTTGGGCATGCATTTTTGCCTGATTATGTTTTCTTTTAGGATTGCAAAGCAAAATGACTTTTGGAGGGAAAAACAATAACAGAAACCAAGGTATAGGGAAATTAGAATGTTGTTAATTTAAAGATCTTTCCCTGCCTTTGTCTTCTAAGTTTCAGAGGAGACTCACTGTAAAGATTCAGAATCAAAGAAGCTACCAAAAATATGTTTTTGTCTGGAGTTCTCCGTCAGTCAGTAAAGATCATTAAATCCTTAGGCTTCAATTCTAAGAATTTTTTAATGAAATATCCCTTTTATGACCATCTTATAGTACAACCTACTTTTTATCCTTTGGGTGACATGAAGACCTATGTCCTAATGTCTTGGCGTTGTGAAGTATAGTTGTAGAGACCTTCTGAGTAGATTTATGTAATCCTGTCATCATCTTGAACAAATAGAGACCTTCCTTTATATGTACAGATCCAACTATAGTAATGCACATTGTCCTAGTAAGGGTGATGATTTTATTTTTGCCATTGCCCCCAGGGAAGAGGCAACCTCGGAGTTTTGCCACTGTTCTTAAAAAGACAGAAGAGTATGGAAAATCGTTTAAATCTATGGTAGGATGCTGCAGCTTAAAAAATTAAAGAGATAGGGGAACTGAGTAAAATGAAAATTGGTTCTGAAGCTGGGACTTCAGATGAAATGAAAGGAAGGTATTTTATCAGATGTATATAAAAACTGTCTTCTGTGAGTCTCTCATGGGTCTCCTTTTTCCAAGAAAACAAACTTCCACCCTTACATATCTCATGAAGATTTTCCAGTGTGACTTTCTTCCTCCTTCCTGGCTTTCAAGGTTCTTCTGTGATTATATAAAAATGAAAAAGAAAGTTCTATAACCTTTGAAACATACACACGGTTATAAAAATTTAATTTTGAGGGGCACTTGGGTGGCTCAGTCAGTTAAGCATCTGCCTTCGGCTCAGGTCACAATCCCAGGGTCCTGCTCAGCAGGGAGTTTGCTTCTCCCTTTCCCTCTCCCCCTGCCTTTTTTTTTTTTTTAAGATATTATTTATTTATTTGACAGGGAGACAGCGAGAGAGGGAACACAAGCAGGGGGAGAGGGAGAGGGAGAAGCAGGCCTCCCGCTGAGCAGGGAGCCTGATGCGGCGCTCGATCCCAGGACCCTGGGACCATGACCTGAGTCGAAGGCAGACGCTTAACGACTGAGCCACCCAGGCACCCTCCCTCTCCCCCTGCTTGTGCACGCACTGTCTCTCTCTCTGTAAAATAAAATATTTAGGAAAAAAATAAATAAAAATTTAACTTTGAAATTGAGGACTAAAAGTCTAGAATGTGTGAATGGGAAAATGCTCTTTTTTAATGTATGATTTTATGGAAAGGGACAGATGCTTTTTTTTTTCAGAAATGATGCTGTCTTTACCATAAATTTTAATTAGTAACACTTTTAATAATCTATGTTATTAATATGACAGTGTTCCTAAATTCTGATGGTGATGTGAATTATTATACTGAAGTTTTCCTCCCAGTAGAAGAACCTCTAAAAGAGGTTCAGTTCCTTGAAAGTCCAGTAAACTTTTAGTAACGTTAATCACTTGGGATGCCTATTTGTAGTAAATATCTAGAGCAGATGATGAAATGAGAATTTGTGCATTATAATCATGGAGCACAGATCCTATGGTGTTAACTTTATTGTAGAGAATTGTTCTGGCTCACATGAGAAATTGAACCCTTACAAAAGGGATGGACTATTCAAGAGCCCAGAGCTTTTCAAACTCTGTTAGTTACAGGTGTGCCAGGAATGGATGTCCCCTCAGCAGATGGGGCAACATATTTTCTCTCTGGGCCATTACGTGACAAAAGTTGGGAAGCGCTGCGAAGACTTTGTTCTTTCGTTCTTTCTACTTTCTGTCACACTCAACATGTTATGTGTACCCTCTCTTGATAATATCTAAAAAAGCATCTTAGGCAGTAGCATTATCAATGTCTACTTTGAAAAATGTAAAATTAAGTATGTAGTTTCTTCTAAAGTTCTAGCCCAAGGTGACTTAAGAATAAAAATAGTTTTGGGGTGCCTGGGTGGCTCAGTTGGTTAAGCATCTGCCTTCAGCCCAGGTCCTAATCTCAGGGTCCTAGGATAGAGCCCTGCATCAGGCTCCCTACTGAGCAGGGAGCCTGTTTCTCTCTCTCCCTCTGCCTCCCTCCAGCCCCTGCTCCTCGTTCTCTCTCTCTTTCTCAAATAAATAAAATCTTTAAAAATAAATAAATAAATAAAAATAGTTTTGAAAAACATTTAGACCATCATGTATTTTGTAACACAGTTGGGTCACTGCCAATTCCCAAGATAAATGTGTTTAAACAGAAGCTTTCTCATTCATCACCAGCCTCAGCTTTTATCCAAATTTATTTAATGATGATGCAAGCCCACAGCATTGGTGTTGCCGTTCATCACCATGGAAGTGTTTCTGTCAACAAATACTCGCTTTGCTATCATGAAATTGATTTTGCAGGGAAAAGGAGGATAATCATGGAAGATTTCTTTTACTTCTAAAGATCTTCACAGTTTGCCTGGGTGTCTAAATGAATTGTGTTTAAAATCAGCAGCTGACAGTAAAATTGACCAAACTAAATTAACAATTATGAGGTTGGAAAGGGGAAACTGATAATGAGCTATTTTGTCTGATTTTTTTTTTTTAATTCAACTTGGGGACCAGATTTGTAATTTAAAATGGTCCTCTGAAAACTGTTGTTCTCTGCTATGGAAATATAGATCATTTTCAAAGAGTCCTATAATGTAAGTATCAGAATTCTTAGAATGCTTTGGCTAAATTTTTCTCACTTATCTTGTAAATGGCATAACAATAATCACAGAAGAAATTTTCCTCAACTAACATAATGTATGATTTTTTTTTTTTAAATATGCCTTTTCTGTAACTTGTGTTTGAAACTATCTTTGGCTTCTATTTGCTTGTTTAGAGGTGGGGGGAAAATGCAATTACATTGTAAGCTTCTGAATATAGCCAATTTATAAGCAAGATAGGAAGCACCTACCTTAAATAATCCAAACTATTTTGGGATCCAGATAGGAAAAAAAAACAAGAATGACATTTTTGCTTTGAAGCAGTGTTCAAGAGCATATATCATAGTGGCTAATTTCAGGTTTGGATGCAAACACATATGTTTTATGAGGGTTTTCGCCTATAGTAGAAATACAGTCAACTCTTGATTGTCAAGGTAACTTGTGTTTTCAAATGTGCTTTTTCTGGCTTCCTGTCACATTTCATTTTTACTTTCACCATCAGCTCATATGTGCTTATTAAAAGCAAATTACTTAGTTTTATTCACTTAGTGTCAATAAACATTTATTAAGTTCTCAATATGTGCTAAGCACTTTGCTGGGCACCAAGGATACTGATACATCT